GCCAAACGTGCAGTTTTGTTACATAGGTATACACGTGCTATGGTGTTTTGCTGCACCCATCAACCTGTCATCTACATAGGTATTTCTCCTAATGCTATCCCTCCCCTTGGTCCCCACCACCCTGACAGGCCCTGGTGTGTGATGTTCCCCTTCCTTTGTCCATGGGTTCTCATTGTTCAACTCCCACTTGTGAGTGAGAACATGTGGTGTTTGGTTTTCTGTTCCTGTGTTAGTTTGCTGAGAATGAGGGTTTCCACCTTCATCCACGTCCCTGCAAAGCACATTAACTCACCCTTTTTTTATGGGTGTGTAGTATTCCATGGTGTATATGTGCCACAATTTGGGAAAACTGGCTAGCCATATGCAGAAAACTGAAACTGAGCCCCTTCCTTACACCTTATAAAAAATTAACTCAAGATGGATTAAAGACTTAAATGTGATGGATTAAAGACTTAAATGTAAGACCTAAAACCATGGACCAGTTATGTAACTCTCAGGCTCAGTTTTCTCATGGGTATAAAGGAGGAATCATGGCTCCTGCCTCTTAGCATGTTTGTAAAGATTCAATAACATGATGCATGCTCACTGCTTAACCCAGTATCTGACTTACAGTAAGCACTCAATATATGATAATGCAAAGCAACATTAAGAGGAGAAAATAGGAAATCTAAGAATTTACTACTTAATAAATAATGAGGAAACAAATGGTATCTAATTAAATCTAGGCCTATCATTTAATATTTTGAGAGCAAACTAACTCTTCCAACACCATTATTTTTATGATAATTTAATATCCAGATAATCCAGTTTGTGGGCTTACTGAGTCACTTTGGATTCATAATCAACATGAAGGTATTTCCTAGTAAGAATCTCATTAGATATTAGTTCGTCTATATAGAATAATTAACTGCCACTTTGCCATTATGTGCTTTACAAGTTCATATCAGCTCATTTATTTACACAATAATAACTGATTAATCCAACATAGAATGCCACTAGCTATCATATATCACTGACAAAGGAATAGCTCTTCAGTTAGCTCATACTCTCCTTAGAGGAATTATTAAATTTGCAGATGCTCTTTCAGTAGCTGGCAAGAAAACTTTAGCAAGTTACCTGATTTTATTTTCATTTACTAAAGAAGCAGTTATTATAGCAATAATAAAGAACAAACATAAATTTAAGTCACTTGTGGTACATTGATCTCATTTTATTTGGCAAATATACAATAAAAGAATTAAACGCCTCTTTTGCACATGGCTTGAAAACCCGTATCAGGATAAGCTAGCTCAAAATATTTGTAGGTAGGTCAGTTGCAAATTAATTTGGTGTATTATGTAATATAGAGTTCTAGTGCATTGCCATCAACTACATATTGAGAAATAGACCTTAAATACCATGCCTTATGTTTCCATTTGTCCCACATTTAGAGCTTCTATTACTTGTACTTGTCTTACTCCTTATTTTCAGTGTGTTCAAGATTACCTGAGTTTCCTCAAGAACTAGAGTTGAAACTTTAAAATGCATTAGTATATGAGAAGTAAAATTATGAAATCCCATTAGTTTTCACTCAATAATTTTAAAACAATAGGCAAAGAATGTTTTTAAATCATCAAACTAAAATAAACCTAAAGATCAAATACAATGGATTTCCTACTTCCAAATTTTCTAAACTGATTTTTTCTTCAGATAGACTTGTCAGTTCCAAATTGAATGTGACTTAAGTTTCTCAAATCCTGGGAAATGAAGGATATTTCACCTCACTTTTTATTCCTCTATAAAGCAGAGTTGTATTAAAATTTTCAACTTTCTTTTTCTCTTTATGAGCTCCACAGGGTACATTTTGATTTGTTCAATACACTATTCCTATTTTAACTTTCTCATACATTCATTTTTTTCAATTTTATTCTAAAATTTCAAGTCAAAGAATAAAATCTCTAAAGCGTTGTCCTCCCTAATGTACTTTTGAAAGGAGGACATTAGGTGTAACTTCAGTGAGGTACAGATCAGGACATAATGCTAAGAAGAACTTAAAAAAAATTATTATAAAGAGCAGCATAGCTACAGAATTACCCTTTACAATAATCCTAATGGGAAGTCAAATAATCTGCTTGTCATTCTATCTAAAAGAGAAATGTGTTATCATCTAGAAATCCTCTGTCGACATTGTTTGGAAGGACACTTCCTGTAAATCAGAACCCATTACAGTTCGTGAGCTAACAAAAGTCAGTATTTTTTTTGGAAAACAATACTATAGTGTAAGTAGATAGTGTGTTAAGAGTTTAAATCAGTGGTTCTTACCTTTGGTTGGGCATTAAAATCACCTATGGAGCTTTGAAACACTCCAATCCCCAGACTGCCCCCCAGATCAATTTAATCAGAATACTTAGGCTGGGACTCAGGCATTAGTATTGTTTATTGCTCTCCTAGGTGATTCCAATATGTAACCAATTTTGAGAACCAATGCTTTAAAAAATCAAAGGCTTCATAACAATTACCACTATAGGATAGAATTAAAAGAATATTTGAAAATATTTTCATAATTGATGGCCAGAATAAAACAATTACCTCTACACCCTTAAAATAACATTTAAGATGAGCTTTAAAGTTACTTCTAAAATTGATTTTTAAATTTTTAAACTTTTCTTACAATACTCCAGCAAAACTTTGAGATTTGTTTGATACATTTATATATATAACTTGGGGCAATTTGATCTGCCATAGCCATTTATAAGACACTAAAATATGAAGGTAAACTTTGCTAACCCAATTCAACTGACTCTAGGTAAAACAGAAGAAATCAGTCATTGCTCAATCTTAGTTCCTCAAAAGCAACCTAGTAGTATAAAATTTGGTATAAGAATATCGTAATACAGCAGGAAAATAACTTTTGGCTTCATATCTTGAAATAGAATCCCATGATCAGTTTATTACTCATTAAAAAATAGCTAAGCACATTTTAGGTACACAGCACCATGCTAGACCCTGAGGATACAGTTTTAACTGAAAAATTCACAGTTCCTACCCTCATCAACTTACAATCCAGCTCGCTGATTTTGTAAGGTCAAAGATTATGATCCCATCTATACACTCACTATAAACCCGACATCACTAAAACATTAGTAATACATCAAGTTCCAAGTTAATCACCATTTGTCTAAATAATATAACATTTTCAGATTGTGTTGGCTGATTTTTCTATACCTTTTTCTATATCCCATCTTCTAAAAGACCAAGAAAAGACTAATAATGTAAACATTACTACTTGAGCTTGGGCAAGTTTATGACAAAAAAAAAATGTAGCAGATGATTCTTACATCCCCACCTCCCCATAATTTTCTGTTCCTTTCTTTGCTGTCTTTTACTATGTCCTACTTTAGTCGTCATCATCATCATCATCATCATCATCATCATACCATTATTGTAACTGTCACAACTACCTAGGCAGAGTCTCTAATATGCAACTCAAAAAGGTATCTGAAAGCAAAAACTACGGCATTGGAAAATTGTTGATCTATTTCAAACATTTTTTTAGTTCCTGATTATTTTACATTTTCCTTGTAAAAGTAATTTGTGCTTATTAGACTGTAGTAAAAGCACAAGAGAAAATTACCCAAAACCCACCACCACAGCAACCATATCTTTTGATATTACTCTAAGTTTTTCTCTATCAAACATATACACAAAATCATGCTGAATTTAACATTTGACATATAGCTTTTTAATTTTTTGACATCATATACTAAGAATTTTACAATGTCATTAAGAACTCTTCAAAAACTTCATTTAAAATGGTATGTGGCTGAAATTCATAATATGATGGGGCACTTCAAGAAATTTAGAATCTTAATTGAATGAGCAAATATGTATGCACTGCTTTCAATGTACTGGGCACTATTCTAGATTCTGCAGACACTGAAAGAAACAAAGACAAGTGTCTTAGCCCATTCACGCTGCTTTACCAGAATACTGTCAACTGGGTGGCTTAGAAAAAACAAATTTATTTCTCATAGTTCTGGGGGTGTTAGGGGGAAAGCTGGAAAGTGCGTAATCAAAGTGCCAGGACATTTGATGTCTGGTGAGGGCTTGTTTCCCCATTTATAGATGGGAAAACTGTGGCTGTGTCCTCACGTGGTAGAAGGGGCAAGGCTGCTCTCTGGGGTCTCTCTCTCCCTTTTTTTTTTTTTTTTTTTTTTTTTTTTTTTGAGATGAACTCTCCCTCTTGGCTGGAGTGCGATGGTGTGATCTCAGCTCACTGCAACCTCCATCTCCTGGGTTCAAGCGATTCTCCTGCCTCAGCCTCCTGAGTAGCTGGGATTATAGGCACCTGCCACCATTCCTGGCTAATTTTTGTATTTTTGGTAGAGACAGGGTTTCACCATGTTGGCCAGGCTAGTCGAGACCTCCTGACCTCAGGTGATCCACTTGCCTCAGCCTCCCAAGTACCGGGATTACAGGTGTGAGCCACTGTGCCCTGCCTGGGGGTCTCTTTTATAAAAGGGCACTAATCCCATCCAGGAGGGCTTTGCAAAACTTCATGATCAAACCACCTTCCAAAGGCCCCCAACGCCTAATACCATCACATTGGGAATAAGAATTTAAACATATAAATTCTAGGGGAGCACAAGCACTTAGGTCACAGCAACAAGATGCCTGCTTTGTGGATTTTATATTCTATTTTGTAGAAACAGACAATTTAAAAAAATCAACCAGGTAATTTCAGATAGTGATTCCTGTTTTGGACAAAGAAAAATAGTCATGAGATTCCAACATCTTGAGAGGGGCTGGCTAGAGAGGAGAAAGGGGGAAGTGCTTGTGAAATGTCGATCTACAAGTAGGCAATGTTTGATATGAGAATGGAGTAGTAAATAGAAATCAGCCATATGAAACTCTCAAGCATATGCAAATGTGGGAAAAGTGGAATAATGCTACCTTCCTGAAAATTCCTAATTGCCTAGAACAGACATCTTTATGAAGGTACAGGAAAATAATAAGCAAACCTTCAAATGCCTCTTCCCCATCAGCCCTCATGTGGTCTTCCTCAAGGTCCATCTCGATTTTAGTTTATTCTTTCTTTGAAAGTCACTTATAAGCCAACACCTTTATTACATCATTCACCAATCACAATGAGAACTGCTATGACCAAATTCCTCCCTAAACTTCTAACCAAAGGTGTAGAAACATAATCTGAATAAAATCTGTGTTGTCTTTTGTTTTCTGCCATAAATTTTGACTATAAATTTACTATGATCCTTGACATTTCAAATTTACATTGCTGTTATTATTTTTTGAGATAATTTGCAGAGCTGAAGTTTGTCAAGTTTGTATAATGCATTTAGTGCTGTAGTTAAGAGCATGGGCTATGAATGGATGCCAATGGTAAGATATTACTGAAGCTACTTAGGTCAGCTTCAATTTTCTTATCACAATAATGATATTATTAGTTTTATAAAAGATGATATAGAGAACTCAGCTTAGAGCCTGACATAAAACAAGCTTCCAATAAATAGTGAGAGAAAGAGAAACAGTATACATTGCCCCCGCCACTCCCTCCACACATCCCGATTTCATTTTTGTTTTTTGTTTTTTGTTTTTTGTTTTTGAGACAAAGTCTCACTCTGTCACCCAGGCTGGAGTGCAGTGGCACGATCTCGGCTCACCTCAACCTTTGCCTCCCAGGTTCAAGTGATTCTCCTGCCTCAGCCTCCTGGTTTCTATATTGAAAGTACAGATTCATAGCTACAATTCAGCAGGCCTGGTATTAATGGATGTATTTCCTTTTACCACATCTTGATATTTATAGTGAAATGTATGTAGAGGTAAATTACTCACTGTCTTTACTAACAAATCTTATTGTTTCATTATCACAGTGTGTCACAAAGTTCTTAAAACATAGGCACACATACCATGTACCAGTGGAATAGATACAATAAGTTGACATCTTCCTGAATTACAATTTCATAGAGCAATGGCTGGAGATGAATCCGTAATATATTGATCTATTTCAGCAATTAGCATTTAAATAATTTCTTGGGGGCACTCCTGGGCTGGTAGGAGGCAATGACCAAAGATTAAAAGTCAGCAACCCTAAATATCATTCCTCTAATTATAACTCTGGTGCCATCTTGATGTGTGACACCAGAGTTTTCCCAGTATAAAATTACAATTCTATCCACATAACCTGATTGACAGTTATTGGCATGAACAAGTGATTTATAAGCACAAACAGTAACATAAAAAAGCATGTGATACTTCACCTAGCAGAAATCAGTCAGAAATTATTTTTAGTGATTGATATTTTCATTATCCTGAATTATAATTAAGATACAGCAGTTCTTTAAAATTATATACATGCTATATCTTTCCCTCCCCACCAGTGGTAGCCAATCACTAAGGTGACTTCCTCTAATGATTGTCACCTTCTGTTATACACACACTCACATAATTCTACCCTACATGGATCAGAGCTAACCTGCATGTCCAATACGATATGCAGAAATGACCGTGTATGACTTCCAAGGTTAGTTTACAAAAGTCATCGTTGCTTCTACCTTACTGTCTCATATCATTCACTCTAGGAGAGCCCGTTGTAATGTAAAAAAGACACTCAAGTAGCTCAGTGGAATGGCCCACGTGATGAGAAACTGAGAGTCAGCACCAACTGCCCATCACATAATTAAGCAAGGTTGGTAGCAGACCTTCTTGCTCCAGTCAAGCCTTCAGATGACTGGAACTCCAGCTGACATCTCCACTGTAACCCTATGAGAGCTGCCAAGCTAGAATCACTCAGCCAAGCCACTGCTGAATTCTGGATCTACAGAGTCCGTGTGAGATAATAAATGTTCATTGTTACAAGCTACAAAGTTTTGAGGCCACTTGGTACAAAGCAATAAATAATTAAGATATTCTTCATTCTAATTTTTCACTCTATACAAGGTTTATGTTGTATGTGTATATATCCTTTCTGCCACCCCCTAACATACACACTACCATCTTGCAAGCAAGTCCTCCATATAGGAGCACAGGAAAATATCTAGAAGCAATAGGTGGGTGTGGACACTTTGATAATCACACACTTTTAAGGAATTAAAACTCTAAGGTATTTGTGTCCATAGCTACACCTGCATACATAATGAGGCCCATCTGTAAAATTTTCTCATACAAGAAATTATTCACAAAATTAAATATCACATGTTTAATCTTCATTAACGTACATATGCTAATTAATTTGTAGCACAATACATCATTCCATTTTCTTACAGTAGCATAAGCAGACTACTGCTGATATAATTTTATTACCCAGGTGGTTATAAGCATTGAGTTAATGTCTTGTCATTGACTTCTGTTAACTGGCAGAATTGAGTTGTTTCATACTATTTCAGCTGGTAGTGAGACAAATGAGTTACACAGTTAAGAGGGACATCTGCCTGAAATACTGTTAAGCTGTAGCAGGACATTTTAAAGCAAATACGGATTTCTTCAGCAGCAGAAAATTTTTATACAATTATTAACTGTAACTTTACTATGAGTCATGATCACATTATGTAAAAAATGCTAAAGTACTAACATTACCAGAAGCACTCAAAGCAGTTAATCTATTATTAGTTCCATCTTCCCTTTGTCTTACATAAAAAATAATTTATCATTAACATTTCAGATCAATGTTAAAATATAAAATTTGAGAAGATAAACATTTACTGTTTGTATCCCTATATTTCCAAGACTAAAATGACAAAGCAGATGAAAGATCACATCTTTGAAAACTTTTAGATACCTGAATAATCTCTACAATAAAACTGATTAAAAACTGTTTTCAGTATTAGTTTCCAATACAATAATGGTTTGAAAACACAGATTATTTTATGAGTATTGATCTAAATTTCTTCTGTGAAAATCTGGGTTCTAAATTAACCTAAACAATATTAAAGGTATTCAAGTATATTACAATAAGATTTTAACTCTATACAAATTATATTTCTGCAAAGCGCAGATGTATTCTTTTGTATATGCCCATGAAACAGCTTTTACAGTGGCATGAATTATAGCAAAATAAAATTTTAAAAAATGAGATTTAAATGTTTTAACCTTCAACAAATAGCAGCATAATTTTACCAAATACAAAATGGTCGAAAAGGTAATCATTAGGAAATGAGAATCACAAACTGCTCTTCTGAAACATTAAGACGGACAAGGGTTAACCATTAATCATAGGTACTAGACCTTTACACATAACTTTAAAATTTTGATATTTTCATTTAATACCCATATTAATCATTTATAAATTATTGAAGGAGTAGGAATGAGAGGTATTTGCTTCTGACATTAACTTGGCTAAGGGAGCCTTATGTGTGTTGGCAATACGTAAGAAATAAAATGTCAAGTCAATAAATTTTTGCTTAGTCAATTCTATTTATTTATTATTGTATTAAAATTGTACCCTTGCTAGCCAATGAATTTAAAATGTGTATTCAAAAATATTTAAATGAATCAATTTAAATAAAATGGTAAATTGGACTTACACTTAATATAGTTTTAAAAGAGCTGAGTTATTTTACTCTGAGAAATTATTGATGATATAATTGAGATATCTGATGCACTGAATTTTATCTGCTACCCATATATTATTAAAGTATAATTTCTCCCCAGATTATTTTAAATATTTATTGAAATAAACGAATGAATAAATGAAGGACAGATGTCTACAGAAACAGGTCTGGCAAAGTTTTGGCATAAATATATTCCATTTGTTTGAAAATAAATACCATTGACCTTATGATCTTTGTGTTCCTCAGATTTGCTTTTTAGTGCCATAGAAATCTGTGTGCAAGGGCATTTTTTTTACTCCTTCTCTCCCTTGGCCCCAAACCTACATTAAGTATGATAACCTACACAATAATTTTTCCAAAAAATCAAACAAACCCATCAAAGTATTATTTTTATATCCATTATATGCCTATCTAAAAGGAATAAGACTTCAGTCTTGGTATCAAAGAGACGAAAAATATAATCAGGAAAATTAAGTTAAATTACATGAAACAATTAGGGAAAATTAAGTGCTGTGATGTATAACAGCATTTCCCAAAATATCCATGAGTTGTTAATAGATGTTTCATTAAGACAAAAATAAAAGGCTTCCATGGTAAAATAAGTTTGGGAAATATTTCATAGCACATTATCCTCTTGGCAATTCATATTTCCATTAGCATATTAATGATGGAAAAGTTTTGCAGCAAAGAAAATTCTTGTATTTTAACCGAGAATACCCAAAATGTATTTGAATCCACGAAAAACCTTTGCTAAATTTTCTATTTTTTAGTCACAAAATATTTCAAACATTCTGAAAAGTGAAGAGAAATAACTAAAACAAGTACTGGCCACATGAATGAAACAGGCATTAGCACTTTGTCATATTTGGTTCAGATTTTCAATGTTACCTAACAGTGAAACATCACTTATACAATTAAGGCCACCCTGACGCCTTTTGTTTCCTTCTTCCATCTTCAGAGATTACCAGTATTCTGAAATTGGTATGTATTCTTCTTGTCCATGATTTTATACTTTGGATACATATATTTGTAACTACAAATAATACATAAAATTTCTGTGTGTTTTAAACTTAAAAAATATCATTTTGTACACATTTTGAGTTACTAATCTTACTAGTCTTATTCAATATTACATTCATGTGGTATATCTATGATAATGCATATAGAGTTAGTTCATCTGCTTTAACTGAAAAATTGTATTTGTATAAATAGAGTCCACAAAATACGAGTTAATTTGTTTGGTATTGAGAATTTAAAAACACAGAGTGGTGAATTAACTAAAACAATCTTCACCATAATATCTATATCACAACAGTGGATTAGAATACTGGCCTGCCACTTGACTGGCTATGTGCTTTGGGCAAGTTATTTCTCCTCTGCTGGACTCAATATGCACATATATAAAACAATGACAATATTGCCAAACATTTTTTGGTTTATGATTTATCTTTGATTTTATTTACCATTTCTTTTGTTGTATTTTTATAGGTTTTTATGTTTATC